GTGAGCATAGCGCAGTGCAGTGTAACAGCCTGGGTGAGCACAGTGCAGGGCAGTGTAACAGCCTGGGTGAGCACAGTGCAGTGTAACAGCCTGCCTGCACAGTGCAGTGCCATTGGCACATGGCAAGGCCCACGTACATTCTCATTTGAATTGCTATGAAGCACTCTGGCCTCTTGTGTACTCCACATAGACAAGGGCCTAGTCTTTGGAGTGAAGTGATCCCCAGGTTTAGAGCTCAAGTTTTCAGTTTTTCCAGCTCCGTACCTTGATGCAGCTGCCCCTGCTGCCCCCGTTATTCCTCTATCTGAATGAATGTCTCACTGTCCTAGCTCTCGCCCCCTTCTCTGCTTCTCTAGGACTTTCATCCATTTGATATTCAACTCAAAGCCGAGAATGAGATTTTTAAAAGCAAATAGTTCTTCATTAAGTGACAATACGTGTGTATAGGTTAGATAGGTCTGAAAGCATCCGGTCCCACGCTCTTTAGAAAATTCTTTTAATTAGAATGCTTTTGGCCTTTATAGATACTCGCCTGTTTTCCGCAGCCATTGGCCGCTACTTCCCGTGTTCTCGTCACTGGCCCATTTCTGGATGGGTCCTGCCCCTGTGGAGTCCCAAGGCTTTTCTGGTCTGTTTCCCTTGGGAGTCATCTGTGTGCAGCTCGTACTCCCAACTACTGCTGCTCCCTGATAGGTGTCCCAGCCGAATGGGAGGGGTTGTTAAAGGCACATGCAAGATATAAATACAGTCAGTGTTCATTTATAGAAAGCCTTTTAGAAAGTTAGATTTATATTTATAGCTGGGAACGATAAATGCTGCCAACCAGTAAATCTTACTAATTGGCAGAAGGATGCAATAGACTGTGGATAACCACGAGGACTTTGCCTGAGAAGTCGATCCTGGTAATGGAGCTTTCCTCCTGCATAGCGTCTGTGGAACTGTAGGCTGGCTTGATAATGAGGCCTTTTTGTCCATATTATCAATTGTCGGCCTTCCTGTCCAATTCTTCCCTTGTTTGCATATTATCCCTTTTACCAAGCCATCCATCCATCCATCTGTCCGTCCGTCCATCCACCATGGTGGCGATATGGAGTGAGTGGGGCAGACAGGTCTGCCTGCCCTCAGAGGGCTTATGTCTTTCCAGGCTTGTTCATCCTGTCGCCTGTGGGCTGAATGCAGATTATTTGAGAACTGTTTTGCTTCTCTTTGGTGTTAAATATCTTAAATTATGCACAAATCTTTTTTTGCTCATCAACTTTTGTTAGTGTTTGTGTATTTAATTTATGCTCCAGATAATTATTATTTTTTCCAATGTGTGGCAGAAAAGTTTAGACACTTAAACCATATGGATGATGATGGAAGGATTCTGTAAATTCTGGAACCGTTAATCATATTTCAGACTCACTTCTTCTGTCACCAATATCATTGTCCTCTAACAACAGAGTAAACCCCCTTTTAGTTTGATTTCAGTAAAATCTCACCAGGAACTTAGACTATAAACCAGATAAAAGTGGAGTAGGTTTGAAGATAGGACTGCCTTATTCCTGCCACCCAGCGGGGAGCCCTTCTCCTGCTGCATGCTGGGTACCTCCTTACACAGCCAACTTGACGCTGACCTTGGGTCTCTGTATTGGTCTGTATTGGACGTGGCTTCATATAGTGGCAGTGTATGTAGCCATTCTTGGCACATACTAAGTCTCAAAGGTAAAGACAACTAGGTAAAGGGAACCCTCAGAAGCCTTTTTGTCCTTTTGGTTCTTGGCCCCAGAACTCTGTGTGTGAACCACTAGAACAG